CAGTGGTTTTTTTTTTTTTTTTTTTTTTTTTTTTTTTTTTTTTTTTTTTTGCAGGTTTAATGTCCAGTCTTCTCTATCTCCCTTGTGCCCTAGAAGCTAATTCTAATGAACTGTATATCTCAGGCTCCTTAGCCATCTGGTACCTATAGCCATAGGAAAGTGGGAGAGGAGACATAGGGTGTTGGTTCCCTGCCCCAGAACTCTTAGCTAGCTGTCTTGGTTCTGTGGCTGCTGGCTTCTCTCTCCATCCAGACTCACAGCAGCCAGGACCATCATGGTGTAAGAAAAGTCATCTCATCATTGCTCTCCCTGAATATGGACAAAGTGAAGTCCTTCACATGAAAACACTGCATTTCTACTGTTCTCAATTTTGCCATTTTGAATGGATTTTGTACAAAAGCAAGATGCTCAGGCATTGTAGAGGAACATTCTCCTATGTGACTCCTGTAATTATCCACACCCTTCCCAGACACCCTTGGTGCCTCAGTGCTAGGAGATGGGTGCTGGAGCAGCACTCTGGCTCCAGCTGCCTGGAACACTCTCCCCAAGCTCTTCAGGCTCTCAAGGGCTGTGGTCACTCCTTTTCTTTAAACCTGCCCTTGACCACTCATAGGGTAAGAGGTCTTTATGGTACAGTTCTGTTTTCACAAAGGTTTTGCTCTTAGTTGCTCTCCTTTCGCCAACGCTGCTATAAGTAGCTTAGTCTTAGTGGGTCATGCACCAAGTCAAATATCTTCTTTGCCTTAGTAGGACTGGAGTTGAAGCTTAGTTCCTCTGGAAACTCCTACATTACTTAGAACTTTGGTGCTTTGGGAGAGCCAAGGACAAAACAGGTCATGTGTCATGTGTTACACACTTAGAAACTTCTAGGCTCATACATAGCAGATGTTACAGACCAGTGATGGTGAATCATTTAGAGCTTTCAATGAATAAACAGCTCAGTATGGCATGCATGCCATAGGTTTGCCACCACTGGCATAGACACTGGATCTGAGGGAACTTGTTCCCATCCCAGCCATTCTACCCACTGGGCTGTCCCAGGACAGTTAGCAATGCAGAGCCCAGATTCCAACACTTCAACCCTTGAACCAGTTGCTTGACTTCTTGAGCCTTAGGTTTCTTATTAATAAAATGAGCTCAGCATATCCACCTCGCTGTAGGAGGGAGGGTCAAATGATTATACAAGACAATGAGGGAAAAAAAGTGATTATGAAAGAGGATATGAGTGCAGAGTTTAAGTTGGCAGGTGGTAAATACAGATACTCCTTGTCTTAACTATAGGGTGGCATCCCAATAGACCCAGTATAAGTTGGAAAATATTATAAATTAAAATA